TCGTGTTGTCCTGTTGTCCTGTTGTCCTGTTGTCGTGTGTGGTGTGTTGTGTGTTTCGTGTTTCGTGTTGTCGTGTTGTCGTGTTGTCGTGTGTGTGTTGTGTGTTGTGTGCTGTGTGTTGTGTGTTGTGTGTTGTGTGTTGTCGTGTTGTCGTGTTGTCGTGTTGTCGTGTTGTCGCGTTGTCGCGTTGTCGTGTGCGTGTGTGTGTGTGTGTTGTGTGTTGTGTGTTGTCGTGTTGTGTCTTGTGTCTTGTGTCTTGTGTCTTGTTGGTGTTGTTGGCTTGTGTCTTGTTGGTGTTGTTGGCTTGTGTCTTGTTGGTGTTGTTGGTGTTGTTGGTGTTGTTGGTGTTGTTGGTGTTGTTGGTGTTGTTGGTGTCGTTGGTGCTGTTGGTGTCGTTGGTGTTGTTGGTGTTGTTGGTGCTGTTGGTGTTACCCCTGCAGCGTTCCGTAGTGGCCGAAAATCGTCAAATAGTTGGTGTTTTCGGGTGTTTTTGCAACTCTCGGAGCAAAAAACACCGTAAATACCAATGTGTTTGGCGGGTCGGAAGCCCAAAACCACGGTATTTACGATGTTTTTTGCCTCTGGTAGCAAAAAGCACGGTATTTACAGTGTTTTTTGGCCAGCACCTAGCAAAAACACTGGTATTTACGGAGGTTTCACCATGTAACAAAATGTTGTTTCTTGATCCGAAAAGATCAAAAATACTGTAAATTACAATGTTTTGAGTCTGCTCTTAGTGCGTGGGAGGTGTGGAGGGGTGGGGTGAAGAGGGGCCCTAGCGTCTACTTCAAGATCAGCTAAGGCGTCTTCCCTAATGACAGCACCTTTTATACACAGCGTGTTGCCGGTCAGTGCTCTCTGTCTACAGGGTTACTCTATATACCTCTTGAGCCTTGAAGGGCGCATATAAATGTGCTCAATATTCATGCATGTACCTCTGTAGGTATTAGGTCGAAACAAAAACACAGGTATAAATTCAAAAGCAATGAGTAGAGCACTACGCCTTGTCGTACCCAATTGGTATTAAGAGTATCTTCCTGTTTTTTCTACACAATGGCAAATAGCAAAAATAAACCGGAGTTACGCAGTGGCTTCGAATTGAAAAACACGTGACAGCAGCGAATGTCCTAAAGACATGCCGAAAAAGAACAGCGGATTCGCTAATTTTCCCAGTAGCGACCAATGGTGCTTCGCGCACGGTCTCTCCACAGGCAAAATGCCTCGCTCTACCGGTGAAAGTTCGAATTGAAAAGTTCTGGTTCGCAAGATTCAGAAATTCTGGTCATATGAAAAACAATTGACCAAATCACGAAGTAAACGGAAATAGCGGATCTCCAAAGTTGCTTATTCGGAGTTTGTAAGTTTTGGAGTTCGCTCCATTCGGAGTGGTCTGCTCGCAGAAAGTTCATGGAGATAAATGTTTATAGTATCTCTATTTACAAGAATATCTATTTACATTAAATTGAAGTTCAGACACTTGTGGCATTGTCTCTATCTAAAAGAGTATATGCCATCTGTGTGAAATAAGTTGATGCACAGAAAAATTGTACAAGGCCTCTCATGCTGTGTTATCTTCAGTTAAAGAAGTATACACTCACTCATCGCCAATCACTTGGTCTCCATGGTCTGGAAAAGAAGATGAGGATCCACCCCAACTTGTGTTGCCCTGATACGTTGATGCTTGATTTTCATATGCTTTTTTCTTTTTCTCCTTCTGTTTTTCCTTTCTTTTGGTAGCATACTTCATTTTCATGTTCGCTGGTCTGTAATGATGTCGCTCATTCCATGACATATCAGAAGGATCCAAGTGAACAAGAATTGGATTATTGGCATCACGATCATTTGGAGCAACCATAAAGATGTTGTGATCATCATGTAAGCAAGTTTCATTTACCTTGAAATAAAATTCACCCACATAGTTCATGTAATCTTCATCTTCAAAGTATTCTGGGTATTCCTCACACATCAAACGTGAATGACCCCACTCAACAACTGTAAGCATACAGCAATCACCTTTGCCTGTTGTCTTCTTCATGAGCTCTTCAGTGTATGTTGCTGTTGTAATGCCATCCAAGTGTGTTGCAAGAAAATCAAGATCACGATAGCTGCAAGAAATGAAATGCTTGACCCTGATTGGAGGGCAAGATGAATCATAATATTTGCGCATTGCTTGTGTTGCAACACCCATCATTCTGTTAATTCAGAATTGTATGAGGCTGTGTTGATATGTAGGGACACCTGGAGATTTTGGTGTAGTGTAATAGCATGCCTTGTTTCCATTACCTGCGATGAAGTCAACTTGATATCTAGCACATTCAAAAGCCATAACAGCCAAACACTCACCAACAATACCAGGAGAGTCTGATGCATACTTCTGTCCAACGTAATAAACGCACACACGTGTCATTCTCATCCTGGCTCTTTTCAAGTCATCTGTATCACGTTCCTTTGTCTTTCCCCAAGATACTTCAAAGATTGCCCATGAGACTTGTCGAACTCGTGTGTCGTTGTTATTTGTGTAATATCCAGCAATTTGCTTGATATAGCCATCCTTTCCGATGCGAGCTGCCACCATCAAATCATGATAGTCATTGAAGCAAATTTTAAACTGAACCTCTTCGAGTCTTTCTCTGTGAGGATAAAGTGAACCAGCTTCACAATTCATGAAAAGATGTCCTCCAAAGTTCTTGATGACATTGATGAAGTAATTGTTGAACTGTGTCTTGTTCTCATCAAATTGTTCATGGTCTTCATCAATGGTGTAATCAATGTGTGGGATAAATTGTTGAAATCTTTCTGGAACCGGGCATTTGTCAAATCTGTTTCTGCACCAGTTTCCCAAATTCCAAAACATCACTGTTATCTGTGGAGAGGATCTGTATGGAAATTCACTATCCTTGTATGTTGGGTCTGATAGGCCTCCACCTAAATATCTGTAAGCCAAGCTATGCAAGATCATACAATAAGGCAAGACCTTGTGGTCCTCAACATACAATTGAAGTACCTTTGTGAGGTTTCCAGAGTCGTCATCAATTCTTCTTTCTGCTTCTTTTGAGGATTCTTCTGTTCTGTGTTGATGAAGAGGATGCATTCTTGGATCACTACAACCATATTCGATGTGGTTCTTGAGTTCATCTAGTTCCTGTGATGGTTGTTGATCTTGATGTCTGGCAATGTATTCAGTTATCAATTGGTCATCTGTGAGATGGTACCAATAATCTTGGTGTGGAGACATAATCTTCCTGTACTTTACATGCCAGAACATGTGTCGATGCTTCGAAGACGCTGGATATCCTTGATTATAAAATCCTGCCCATTCACCATGGTAACCATCTGTGAAACAATCCTTCAATTTTCGAAAAATTGAATCATCTTCGTTTCCAGTGATATCTTGACCATAGTAAAATCGATGTGCAGGTTTAACTTCAGGAGCTGTCTCATCATCTTGAATATTTGTTTTCTTTTCCCCTGATTCCTCCTTTTCTAAGGAGCATTCAGGTGGAATTTGTTCCTCTTTCTCGAAAGAGCTTTCTGGTGGGACATGTGGCTCCTGTGTATCTTTTTCTTCTTCTTCGACAACAATCTCCTCTTCTTCTTCTTCCTCCTGTCGTGCCTCTTGTTTGACAAAACTATCCTTGATCTTTTGCTGAACATTCTTGTTGCACATACTGATCCATTTCAGAGTACACTCAACCAATTTGTCATCATCGGTTTCCAAAATAATATGCTTGTCCTCAATGTTCAAATTTTCAATAGTGTTCTTGTATTCAGGATTACCAACACCTTATCCTTGAAAATCAGGAAGAGGAGTCTCTGGATCATCATCTACCAAATCTGGCTCCTCAACATCAAGGAAATTGTCTGTAGTGAGGTGTTCATTGTCCTTGAGAACCTTTCCAATATCCAGTTTGAACTCATGATATTTTTCCCAGGAGATCTCATAACCCATCATAGGTACATATCGGTCCATAAATGTTGAGAAGGAAACATCTGTTAATGCTGTCATCATCAACCATAAGGAGAAATAACTGATGTCACCACGCTGCAAGGGTTGACCTCCTTCAAAATCATCATGTGCGAGGATGGTTTGGCCTGCGAGTGTAATCTCATGTAGGATGCTACGATGCTCTGGTTTGAGTTACCTGATCAAGAATTATCCATGTCGATCTTCAGGATTTCTTCTAGGATTTGCATCAGGTAAAATATCTTCTTCATGTTCTTCTTGATTTTCCAATGCAAGCATCTCATCTGGTTGTGATGGTGTTTCCTGTCTCTTTTGAGAGCATACACCTTTTTCCTCTCTTTCTTGAGAGCCTGTCGCTTTCTCCTCCTGAGGCCTGACAAAAACTTGTAATCTTGGCATAAACTCAAGTTCTCCTTCAGCAACATCATCATCGTGATCTTCCATGTCCACATTTTCCTTCTCCTTCTCTGGAATGTGAGCAATCTTCTCTGTTCCTGTTATCCAGATATAGCCATCGAGCTTTGTAGATACATGGAAATCACCTGAACCACATTCCCTGACCCTTGTTCGTGCTCGGGCAGATTGATGGAATGCTTCGTGCTGAAAGAACTGATTGTATGCATGTTCAACAAAGAACCTGTAGGATTGAGCTGTCAACTCCTTTCTGCTATCCACAAATTGTCGAAGCTTGTTGAGAGCAAAGACTGTAAAATGGCAAAAGTTGGACGGTGCTTCATCTTCA